TTTCCCCACATACTCTCCTGGCCGCGCGACCCCGGGGCCCAACCAAACACACGCCACGCCGAACACGGGCGATGCGTTTCCTAGTTACCAGCGTAAAATAAATAAGTAAAACAAGCTAAAAAAATAAAACTTAAAGGGCAGAGAGGAAAAAAAAACGCGCCGCGCCCCGCGGCCCTCGGCGCCGGCGCCCGGGCCCTGCAGGTGGTTGAGCGCGCTCTGCTCCGAGGCCTCCACCTGCGTCTGGATCTGCACGAGCATGTGGTCCATCTCCCACAGCTTGCTCCGGCTGCGCAGGTAGGCGCGCCCGTGCTCGCGCGTCAGCGCCGCGATGTCCTCGCGCATCTCGTGGATGACGGGCAGCAGGAACTGCTCGAAGTCCTCCTCGGGCTCCAGCACCTCCACCTCCTCCGGCTCCGCCAGCTCGACGATGTCCAGGGGCCGCATCCTCCTCGCTCCTCCGGGGACCGCAGGGTCGGCGTCGGCTGCGGAGAGAAAACGGAGACTCGCTACGCTTAGCCACAGAGTCCCAGAACCGCCTCGCAAACTTTTACCCGGGTCCAACTTTCCGCCGCCGAGAAGCCACGGAAAGGGGCGACTTACGCGCAGAGCAGCCGCGAACAAAATGGTGGCGCGGCCGTCAACCAGCTCCCTCCGCGTTGCGGCCCCGTTCACGACACCGCCGGGCCTCTTTACGGTCGCGCCGCTGGTGGAGCGAGGGGCGGGCGCGCGGCATGGGCATGTGCACGAGCACGCACACGCGCTCCCGTTTCTCTTTCCGCTCACCCGGTGCCCTGCCTCCATGCTCCCCCGGCTTTGGGGTTAGCTCTTCCGGTGCACCTTCTACTCCTAGATTGCTTCTCAAGCGCGGAATCGACACTTTTTTAAAAAAAAATTTTTATTGATTTCAGAGAAGAAGGGAGAGGGAGAGACAGAAACATCAATGATGGAGAGAATCTGGGAATACTATACCTGCAGGAACCTAAAACATGAATTCAAAAGGATATGCACCCCCTGTGTTCCTTGCAGCGTATGTACAATAGCCAAGACCTGGGAGCCGCCCCAAGGCCCATCACAGGTGAGTGGCTAAAGAGCTGTGGGACGGCTGCACACTGGAATACCACCGGCCCTAAAACAAGGAAATCTCTGTGACAGCACTGACGGGCCTGGAGAGCATCATGCTAAGTCAGCCAGACAGAGAAAGGAGGTGTCACATGGTCTCACTCATGTGGACGCTAGTGAACAAAATAGACCGATGAACAAAATAAAA